TGTGCCTAAATTCCAACAATATCAAAAACAACAAGAAAAGAAACCGATTCATTTCAATTCCGATAATGGGGAAGATTATAATGAACTATTTTCTATTCATGAGCTCCATACTGCTCTTGACCAAGCTCACGATACTGCTACAGGGGCTGATAACAAACATTATCAACTCCTGAAGCACTTACCAAAATCCTGCCTAGAGACTCTTTTAAATATTTTTGATGATATTTGGACGTCAGGTAAATTTCCTCACTCATGGCGTGACGCTATAGTAGTACCAATGCCTAAACCTGGACGTGATCATACGGATCCGTCCAATTATCGACCAATTTCACTAACTAGCTGTGTTTGCAAAACCATGGAACGAATGATAAATAATCGACTTGTTTGGTACTTGGAAACAAATAACCTTATAACAGATATACAATGTGGTTTCCGTAAAAACAGAAGTACTGTCGATCACTTAGTGCGTTTGGAATCATTTGTTAAAAACGCTCTAATTAATAAACAACACGCTGTGTCTATCTTTTTTTATCTTGAGAAGGCATATGACACAACGTGGAAATATGGCATTTTAAGAGATTTACATGATTTTGGAATACGAGGCCGTTTGCCTCAATTTATAGCCAACTTTTTAAATGATAGGGAGTTTCAAGTCCGAGTGGGTTCAACCATGTCTGATCATTACAATCAGGACCAGGGTGTTCCACAAGGCAGTATTTTGTCTGTCACTTTATTTAGTATCAAGATCAACAGTTTATCCAAGGTTTTAAATGATTCAATTGATGGATCATTATTTGTGGATGATTTTAATATTTCTTGTCGTGGAAAAAATATGCATACAATTGAACGGCAACTGCAGTTGTGTTTAAACAAAATAGATAAATGGTGTCTTGAAAACGGATTTAAATTCTCTAAATCCAAAACTAATTGTATACATTTTTGTAGAAAATATAAACTGCATAAAGACCCGGAACTGTTCCTCAATGGCACTCCCATCAAAGTTGTAAAGGAGGCCAAGTTCTTGGGTTTAATTTTTTGATTCACATCTAACTTTTCTTCCGCATATCAAATCTCTAAAAACTAAATGCATGAAGGCACTCGATTTATTGAGATTCGTTTCCAATTCTAAGTGGGGAGGGGATCAAGCTACCCTCCTACAATTATATCGATCATTGGTACGTTCCAAACTTGATTATGGCTCCATCGTGTATGGTGGAGCTTGCCACAGTATTCTAAAACTTTTAGATTCTGTCCACCATCAAGGTCTAAGACTATGTCTTGGTTCCTTTAGAAATTCACCTGTTGACAGCCTCTACGTCGAGGCTGATGAGCCATCTCTTACACAACGCCGTATAAAATTAACATTACAGTATATTACAAAACGTTATTCCAATGAGTCAAACCCTGCATATAACTGTGTCTTTAATCCACTATATGAAGATCTGTATAACAAAAAGCCTTCTCTTGTTCCGCCTCTTGGTATATGAGTGAAACCTTTCCTTTCTGCTGTCTGGATTGAGCTAGAACATATAGCTCCTTCCCGTCTTATTTCTTCTCCGCCTTGGCAACTGGTTAGGCCACAAGTTGACCTAACATTAACTACATTTAAAAAATCAGAAACAAATGAATTACAGTATAAACAGGAATTTAGTCAATTAAGAAATAAATATAATACATATAAATCCTTATTTACAGATGGGTCCAAGGACGGTGGCGCAGTGGCATGTGCCACTGTCATTGGATCCAGAACAATATCTTCTAGAATACCGGATAACAGCTCTATATTTACAGCAGAAGCAAACGCCATCTTAACAGCTCTTAAATATATTAATAACCACCGTAAATATAAACAATATATCATCTGTTCAGATTCTCTTTCGTGTCTTCAGGCTATTAAAAATCTTTCTTGCAAACGTCCACTTTTAATAGAAATTATTGAATTGTACAATGAACTTGCTACTGGCCAATGCGACATCGTCTTTTGTTGGTTACCCAGCCACGTTGGCATTACTGGGAATACAATGGCCGATCTTGCTGCCAGGGCAGCACTCAACAAATCTGTGACACCACTTCTAATTCCATACTCTGATTACAAAGCCAGCATTAGAACATACATCCGCGATCTAATGCAAAAGAAGTGGGACACCCAAGTAGGTATCAATAAATTACATGCAATAAAACCCTACATTGGTTACACCTACTTGGGTTGTCAGTCCAGATTTGAAGAGGTCATTATGCGACGATGTCGCATTGGCCATACCAGATATACTCATGAATATTTATTGAAAGGCGAAGATCCGCCGTTTTGCATCCCTTGTGATCAAAGGATCACAGTCAAGCATGTCTTGCTTGACTGCATTGAATATTCCATCACAAGGGATAAGTATTTTAATGTCAAAACATTGAAGGATCTTTTTTATAATGTTAATTATCATTTAATAGTTGAATTTTTAAAAGAATTAGATTTGTTGACTGATCTGTAAATAGCGAAATATTTTATTGTTGGTAGTTTATATTAGTAACTGAGATTGTTTGTGGCTGTACCCTCAAAGGGGTTGACGTAACGTAAAATTATTGTCCTCCTGAGAGGGTACATAAGTCCCAAAACTTTCAAAGTCAATTTAAACTTGCCAGGATTTTTAGACGTAGCATTCTTGTCTTTTTAATTGTAGCTAACATTTCTTACAATCGCCAGCAGCTGAAGGGATGGTGTAAATCCAACTAGGGTCCATGCAGGTAGCCAAGGTACTGTAAGTCCCCATGGTCCCTATTTTGGTGATCTACCTTCTGGTGTTGGCGATCTATAGCTTGTTTTTATATTGTATTGTCCAAATAGTGCTATCAGTTTTAACTCTCCATACTAGTTTTAGTTGTAATTGTAATATTCTAGTTGTTTTACTGTCCTTCTTCGGCAGGTTTTATAATTTCTCTATTTATTCTATTTTAATGTCAAGTGTTCTCGTGCCACGATAACTCACTCACTCACTCACTCACTCTTATCTTACTATACACGTAAATGTCGAAATATTGTACACGTAACGATGTGACGAATTAAATAATGCAAAAACTCACGTAAGAGGCGACAAACCCATGTAGCCCTGGTGTTGCAAGATGGTTTCCACTGCAACATTTTCCATGTTGACACTCGATAGCAGATGGTGAGCAGGGTTGATGAAACACATCACTATACCATGGCTTACAACTCTCATTCAGTTAAAGGAAATAAAAGGAGACATCTGTCTTCTTCTGATGATGAAGAAGTACCTCAGTCTGGTGCTTTCTGGTAGTTGGGCTTTCTTGCCCAAATTCCTGGCTGTTGAAGCTGCGGACTGAAGTTCCGTCAAACTAACTGTGACTGTGCTGCCACTGATCAGTCACAGATCATTCAGATTAGATTTTGAGACGCCCCCCTCCGCACCTGTCTATTCCCGTTGCTGTCGTGCGCCCCTCCGCGCCAACCGTCAACAATCATGTTTGTTAAACAACTTTTCTGTGATGCATGACAATTTCTAATATACTGGACAAAAATATATATGTAAATTTTGAAATCATGAATAATGATCTTTTTATTCATTAACACACTGAAAAATATTAAATCATAAATATACCAATGTCCCTAACTTATTTTGTCAAGTATAGATGAAAAGGTGTTTGAGTATAGGTTATTCATGAACATTTTGCCTCGTAATATTCATCAACTACCTTTCTAAACTGATATAGTTAGCAGTTCACTGGGAGACTTTCTAGTCAAGCAGACTGTAGTATGGTGATCTACGTTCAGTTCTTGGCGATCTCAATGGTGTTTTTTTATTGCATCGTCTTCTATAGTTAAACTGTTTTAGATGTCATCATTGCTAGTCTTAAATTTATATCTTGTTGTTTTACTGTCCTTCGTTGGCAGGCGCTTATAATTTGCTTTTAATTACTATAAATCTATAGTTTGATTTAGTCACGATATGGCTGAAATATTGTCGATGTGACTCAAAATCTTCATTCACCCACTCAAATTGTGGGAAATGAGAAACATGGCAGTATCACGACTACGTCGGTTCCCGGTACAGATCCACACAAAGGGTAAAAGCACAAACTGCAGTCACTTCACAATGAAATAGCAAAGTACGCAATGGATTATACATCTCTAGATCCAGCGGATATCCCCCAATGTTCTTTAGAGATTAATGAAGTTATATGTGCTGTACGGCATGTATGTGAATATTGATTGCAATTTTGGAAAGTAAATTTATGAAAGATCGGTGAACGTCATGGAACGTTCATGACTAAGATCTCTTTAGTACTGTTAACTTTCATGAAATTACTGAATTTTGAAAAGAAATAGAATTATTAGATAAATATTGATAAATAGTTTGTAAATAGGTAAACATGTTATTATTGGTAGTTTAGATTAGCAACTGAGATTGTTGGTGGCTGTACCCTCAAAGGTGGTTGAAGTATTGTAAAATTATTGTCTTCCTGAGAGGGTATGGAAGTCCCGAAACATCGAAAGTCAATTTAAATTAACCAGTTGCTTTAAATGTAGTATATTTGTCATTTTAATTCGGGCTATATTTGACCACAATCGCCAGCTACTGCAAATGACGTAAATCCAGCTAGGGCCCATGAAGGCAGCAAAAGTAATGTACGTCCCCATGGTCTCTAGTATGGTGATCAACCTTCAGTTGCTGTTAATCTATAGCCCATATATTTATATTGTACTGTTGTCACGAGTCTCTTTTTATGATTATGATAGCGTACTAGTTTCAAATTCAGAGCTGTGATAATCTAGTATTGTAGTTTTGACTGTCCTTCGAAGACAGGTTTTTACGTTCTAAATTTATTGATTTTAATGTTGACGTAAATTACATTGCTTTCGTCACGATATGGCTGCAATATTGCCGATGTGACGCTAAATATTAACTCACTCACTCAAGACTAAGAACCAGAAAATCTAATGTGACATACAGCTCGGATCATGTACGAACACTTCCGCTCTTCCTTTCCAGTGTCCTGTCTGAACAGTGAAAAGTCGTGTCCAACAGAGAGGTCAGGGAACTGTTTGTTCTGGCCCTCCTCGATGTGGGAGATATGTGGACGGACTTGTGATACGCCAGCCCTCTGTCACAGTAGGTTACAGCAATTTACAGAAAAGAACCAGTCACCAGTAAAGTAGAAACTTCCAGAGCATCATTTCATTCCATAAAATGTTTGCTTAAATTTAAAATATTTCTTCTATAATCTTTAATATGAATTCATGCCTGGCATTACAAGATGTTCCCAAAGTAATCGAAGTCAATTTTACGCTACCACATTTTGACTCGTAGTATTACTGTGTTACGGTTAATAATTTGCCGTTCCCCTTTGCACCAGCAAAATAGAACACAGTGAGTGAGTGAGTGAGTTTGGTTTTACGACGCTTTTAGCAATATTCCAGCAATATCACGGCGGGGGAACACCAGAAATGGGCTTCACACATTCTACCCATGTGGGGAATTGAACCCGGGTCTTTGGCGTGACGAATGGACGCTTTAACCATTAGGCTACCCCACCTCCCCTATAACACAGACATACTTGTTAAAAGGTGAAGATCCTCCGTTTTGTATGAGAGAGTCACAGACAAGCATCTCCTGCTTGACTGTGTTGAATTCTCCATCATAAGGGATAAATATTTCAACGTTAAAACTGTTAAGGATCTTTTTAATACTGTTCATCTTCATTTAATTCATGCTTTTTTAAAAGAAATTGATTTGATTAATGAATTTTGGTAAATATGTTCTGTAGATAGATATGTTTTTATGACTGGTAGTTTTGATTAGTAACTTAGATTGTTAGTGGCTGTACCCTCAAGGAGGGTTGAAGTATCGTATAATTATTGTCCCCCTGAGAGGGTATGTAAGTCCCAAAACTTTGAAAGTCAATTTAAACTAACCAGGATTTTTAAACGTAGTATTCTTGTTATTTTAATTTTGGCTAACATTTCTCATAATATATAAAAACCTGTCGACGAAGGACAGTAAAACATACTAGAATATCACAATTAGAATTAAAACTAGCGTGGAAAGTTTGAAACTAATAGCACTATTGGGACAATACAATATAAAAACAGGCTAGAGATCGCCAACAACAGAAGGTAGATCACCATACTAGGGACCATGGGGACTTACAGTACCTTTGCTACCTGCATGGACCCTAGCTGGATTTACAACATCCCTTCAGCCGCTGGCGATTGTAGGAACATTTAGCCGGAAGTTAAAAGAACTAAAATATTACGATTAAAATGTGGTAAATTTATATCTTACTTTGAAAGTTTTAGGACTTACGTACCCTCTCAGGAGGACAATGATTTTACGGTACTTTAACCCCCTTTGAGGCTGAACCTGATGATAATGATTAAACAGGGTAAAACCAACTCGGACTTGAAATTGCCCGTCATGCAAGTCTTTCAAAATCCCATATTTTCACTTCATGTCCAATGATTTTATAGATCGAAAAAGATAGACACTGCATTTGTTTATCAAATATAGCGTTTTTAGCAAATTATTCCAAACGCACTAAATGATCAATGGCGCTTGTGTATTAGGAAAACAACAGTGTATAGCAGTAAGTAGATTGTTGGTTTCTAAGTACCCGACTAATCGGTTATTGGTCAGTGAAATTGGTCGATAATTTGAAGGATCAGTATGATCAGGTACAGGTTAAGGCATTGTGACAATTATACCATCACCCCATAAAGACGGAAATTTCCCCGACGTCCAAATATCATCAAATATACCTAAAGAGGTCTCTAAGCATAACTCTGGTAAGTGTTTCAGGAGCTGATCATGTATGCTACCAGTTAATGTAGCAGTATCAAGATCATGTTCATGAACAGTATGTAGGTCAGTAGTTCATTGCAATCTTCCCCATTATCTGAAATGAAATTAATAGTTTTCCTCTCTTGCTGTGTCTAGGGTAATTTTGGAATTTGGGTACATAATTAATTGAGGAAGAATGTTTCGACACAGTTTCGACAAGTGTATTGGCAATATCGGGTTCACCAGTTAATAAATTGTTTCCGTCTTTAAGATGGTAAATGCGAGATTGTGAGCCCTTACATTTGAGTTTTTGGATCTTACTCCAGACCTAAGACATTGGCATACCCGAATTCATTTTGGATACATAACTTTGCCAAGGGTTGGCATTTACTTTGTTTGAAAGTATGCCGTGCCTTAGCATTTCAAATCTTAAATTCGTTTAAATTATGCACCATAGGGTGTCGACCGAAATGATGCTCAGCCCTTTTCTGTTCCTTTCCAGCTTATTTGCAATTATCGTTAAACCATGTTTTTCGAATATGTGGAATTGCAGAAGACTTTGGCATACGCTTGTCAGCTATGATATTCAGTTCATCAGAAAGGGTTTGTTTTTTTATAACATCTGGAACATTACTAAAAAGTTCAGGTCAAGACAGTTAGCCTTTCTAAAATTCCATCTTGATAATGGAGAAACATCAGATTAGGTCTTAGCACGGGAAATGGTCACTTCTTCCACAGAGATCGTCGTGGACTAAACATCAAGAACTGGATACGTTCCTGTGACAGAATGTAAATATGTATTTAATCATCATTATAAATCACCATACGGTGTTCATTCTGTCCTTCCGTCCGTCTGCAAAATTTGACCGGATCATATCACCGAAACTATGCATGCTTGGCTCTCCAAACTTACCACATAAGTTAATCATAACCAGCAGATGTGTCTTTTCCTATTCTAAAGTTTATTAGAATTTTATGTTTGGCTGTTTCTATGGAAATACGACTTTGTACAAAATGTGTTTGATGGTTATCTTCATCTACGTCCACTTCATTGTGTGCAACATGAGACACTTCAATAATGCGTCACGGAAAACACACAAAAAAAAGTAATATTTCCATAAACTAATAATTCAGTCAGTAAATAGCAAAACTATCATCTAACGTTTGTATTAAGTTTGGTGGCGCTGGGATGTATATTGGAAATAGCTTTGTCACTATTATTTCTATCATAATGCATACAAGCAGCAAAGAGGATCCGGAAGATTTTCGCCAAGTCCAGCTAGTTAGGCTCATCATCAGCTCATGGTCCTTTCCCACAGCAGTGACGGCAAATAGGACCTCTCCTAGAGAGAACTGGATACAATAACACAATGTAATCACCATATACTATGTTTAGTCTGCAAACCAATACTTGTTGAAGGAGAATCCGGAGAGTCTGACTGCCAGTGCGGTGTGTATGCCAGGAGAGGACGATGTGAAAAGGAGGCCAACATCCGAGAAATTGTCTGCCCATACACCTGCTCCCTCAGAGCCAGTGAGTAGCCTTCGGGTTCGCTTACAAAACAGACAGACAAAAACAATCATGCTTTGAGTTTTTCTTATACATATTTTTACCACATTGCATCCCCAATAAGTCTGCATAGCGAGGCATGCCCATATTCGTTTATTGACGTGTTTATGTCCAGAACATTTTCATTTTGTTTTATTGTACAAAGGAGGACACTGTCTCAGCATTTTTCGAGAATCAAACATAAACTCCAATCAATGCCAACCCATAGCAACACACTGTCCCACACACATACTCAAATCCACACTCATACCCAATCTCATACCCACACCAACAGCCAAACCAAGCCCCAATCCCACATGGTTACTCAAACCATCACCAATTCCTATGTCTCATCCATACTCACATCCATAGTTACATCCAAACCGACAACCAAGTATTATCCATCCCTACACCCATATTCACGCCCACATTTTATACTCATTCCAGACCGAAAATGACTTGCTGACCCAATTTCTGCTCCAACACCCACCCCACAATCCTACTAACACCATATAGACTCCCACATCCATTTTCACATCCCCACCCACAACCATACTTACATCGCACTTACACCCAAACTCACATCCACAGTCACACAAACCAACGGTCACATCCACATCCTCTTGCCAACCACAACCACCACATATCTACGCACACGTCTACAACCACAATCATTCTAACACCATACACACAACCATATACACATTCACACACACAAGCATACTAATACCGCACTTAAATCCAAACTCACATCCACACTCACACACCAACGGTCACATCCACATCCCCTTGCCAACCACAACCACCACACATCTAAGCACACACGCCTAAATATTTAACACAGCGCAATTGACCGCCTCCGTGGTGTAGTGGTTAGAGCATCCGCCTGGAGTGCAGAAGGTCGCGGGTTCGATCCCCGACCGGGTCATCCCAAAAGACGTTAAAATATGGTACTTGTTGGTCCCTGGCTGGCGCTCGGCATTAATGGGTACAACAAGGACTGGTCGACTCGGAGTCAGTATAATGTGTCTGAGTGGGGTATTCATGCTTCACTGCGGCATGGTATCTCAGTGGGCTAGCACAATAAAACCAGCTTCAGTCTGGGCTAGTTCAAGCAGCCGCACATACACATACATACGCATGCACGTCGTCATATGAGCGAAATATTCTCAAGCACAACGTTAAACTCAATTCCACCACCACACAGCGCAATTACGTTTCGTTAACCGAATTCTGGTAACATTTACAGATATAACCTGCGGCGATCCGAATCTTCTCTTCCCTCACGCCGTGGCCTCCCGTCAGACGCCCCACTGGATGGACACGATATCTTTCAAATGCGAACCAGGCTATATGAATATGGGCAACCCTCCATGGATAGCCTGTAACATCAAGGGGGAGATGGTTTTGTATTTTAGGGACAATGTGCCTCACTGTGTCCGTAAGTTATTCTCAATGTTCTATTCTTAGAACTGTTGACAGTAGATGCATTGATGCATGTCTTCAGTAACTAACCTGAACTCTGGCGCGATGGTCCATGTCCTCCCCGACAAGGTAGTCCATGTTCCCCTTGACACGACGCCTAATTTCATCCCTGGCATAATGTTAATTCATATTCTCCCTGACTAATTACTAGACGTCCTTTCTGTCAAGACGGTCCATTTCAATCCTGACACGATAGTCTATATCCCCACTTAATGCATACCCTTGGGCGCGGTGGTCCATGTTGCATGTTATACGATGGCCGCACCGCACCGCACCGCACCGCAACGCACCGCACCGCACCGCACCGCAATAATAATAATAATAATAATAATAATAATCTACTTCTATAGCGCCGAGTTCCAGCTAGGCTGCTCACAGGCGCTTGTGCAGTTCAGTCTATTTCATTTCAAATAGATGTGTCTTTAAATGTTTTCGAAAAGTTTGTAGACTTGGGGCGGATTTTAGCGACATAGGGAGGTTGTTCCATAGCATGGGAGCTGCACATTCAAAGCAGCGGTCCCCGTATTTGGTCCTGGATGGTCTGGTGATAAGCAGATCTTTATCTTGTGATCTAAGGGTTCTTGTTGGTCTATGGTTGTTAAGAAGAGATGACAAGTAAGATGGAGCAGTGTTGGTCTTCAGGCACTTGTAGATAATGGTGAGCAACTTGAATTTTATGCGTCTGGCAACGGGTAGCCAATGCAGTTCTCTTAACCTGGGGGTGATGTGGTCTCTTCGAGGACAACGAGTTATTATCCTGGCGGCTGTGTTTTGTATAACCTGGAGTCGATGAACCAGGGAAGCTGTTATCCCAAACAAAAGTGAATTGGCATAGTCAATGCGAGATATGACTGTTGCTTGAGTGAGAGTTTTGGCGGTTTCATCTGAAAGATATCGTCTTAGTTTACCAATCTGATGAAGATGATAGTGAGAAGACTGGCACATTTGGGTGACCTGCTTGTTCATGGTCATATGGGAGTCAAAAACAACTCCTAGATTCTTCACTTGGGAAGAGGCAGGCACATTCACAGGTCCAATATTGACTGAGAATTCTGTCATACGTTCCTGTAAGTGCTTTGGCCCAGCAATGAATACTTCCGTTTTGTTGTCATTTAGTTTGAGAAAGTTAATTCTCATCCAAGTTCTGATGTCACTGATGCAGCTTTCCAGCTTTGTTATCTTGTCCTGAAGTGATACAATCCTAGAGGCGATACAGCTCTGGGTGTCATCTGCAAAGCACTGGAAGTCAATGCAGTGGTTCCGGAAAACATCACCTAGTGGCAACATATAGATGGTAAACAAGAGTGGTCCGAGGACTGAACCCTGTGGAACGCCATATGATAACCACCTTTCTTCTGACACGGCTTCACCCACTTTCACTGACTGAGTTCTGTTTTTTAGATATGACTCAAACCACATCAATGCTGGTCCGGTGATACCAACAGTCTTCTCAAGTCGAGACAGAAGGATACTGTGGTCTATTGTATCGAAGGCTGCTGACAGGTCTAGTAGAACAAGAAGTACTACTCTCTGATTGTCGAGATGAGAAAGGATGTCATTTTGCACACGAAGGAGTGCTGTTTCTGTACTGTGGTGTTCTCTATAGGCAGACTGGAACTCTTCCATCAGGTTGTTTTTTTCCAGATGTTCTTTGATTTGGATTGCTACAATCTTCTCAAGTACCTTTGATAGAAATGGTAGGTTAGACACCGGCCTATAATTTCTAATGTCATTTGGATCAAGTGATGTTTTCTTGATAAGTGGACGAATAAGAGCCATTTTGAATGTGCTTGGTACTTCAGATGCAGCCAGCGATGTATTGAACATGGCCACTAACGTGCTGTCAATAACAAGATGGTTCCTGTTCCATCTGATGATCCATATTGGGTCCATGTATCGCGACACGAACTCTTAACACGATAAGACGCCACTCCCCCGACGATTGACTAGACTTAATATTTAAATATGTATTTCTTTTTCCATGTACGCTTTACAAACAATTTCTTGTGATGGTAACGGCATAAAAATTGTATTTTATTATTGTTGAGTAATCTATAATCTCTATCAATTTCTTTACTTGATTGATAGATAGTGATCTCATCCACACTCAAATTCATCACAATTTTGAAAATGGTAGTTTTTAAGTTGTGGCATAAGTATCAGGCAATTATAATATTCTACAGTTATTCTATTTAGGATGTCCTAGGACGATTAATAGAGGTGTTTGTGTTTAATTCTGAAATTCGTAAAGCTGTACTGAGTGGTAATGATGAGAGTAAGGTTGTCTTTTGCAATGGACATTGCTGACCATTGTTCTCGAAGATGTCATGCTTCTTGCAAAGTTCGTAAAGTTCAAACAATAACTGCTTGGTTGCGTTTCTTCGACCATTTCAACACACTCTTTTTCTGGTCCAGATCGTAAATGTCATTCGCAAGATTGCTAATAAAACAAGCTTCATGTCACAGTAACTTTTATTTCCATTTCCTGGGTATATTATCTCAGCTTACGGGGAAAGCACACCTGGTAGATGTACCTCACTAACAAAGTGGCGCCAATGACACAAACGCTCTTGACCTCTAGAACACAGACCAATATATAGTTGTTATAACTCTCGGATCACATAAACTCTGTCTTTTATAGACGACCTCACTGTGATGTTAGTCTTCAATTGTTTTTCCTTACAAATAAGGGGGTGCATGAAATCTCTTGAGAGAAATCCACATGTATTTTTTGAAGCTATTAAGTGACTTACCAATCTACATTATCGTAGGCAATAACAATGTCCTTGCTTTCGTGAACTTTGTTCAATAACATTCACTCACTTATTACATTTTCTTACAAACATGGGGTTGCATGAAATCTCTGAGAGAAATCCACGAGTACTATTTGACGCTATAACGTGACTTATTACTTGGTTGGTGACTTACCAATCTGCATTATCGTGGGCGATAACGATGTCTTTGCTTTCTTGAAAATTGTTCGATAACATTCACTCACTGATTATCAAAAAAACTTGTATTTCAGCGGAAAAGATATACGACCAATTCCGATACTCTCCACAGGCAATCTTTCTGCAGATCATAGAGTCTTTCCCTGCTAAATCAGGCTTCTATTGCGCTATTGCCTGCAGAGAGTCGTCAGTATGTACCCACTTCATCTTTGAGAGCAACACGTGTGACATATGCAAGATTCCTAGGTGGAAAACCGGAGGATACAACTTGTCCGGAAGGAAACTCTGGCAGAAAGTGTTACCAACAGAGTATCCTCGTGACTTTCGAATGCCCTAATACTTTTCCTACAATCGCCAGCGGTGTAAATGGTGTATATCCAGATAGGGTCTATGTAGGTAGCAAAAGAAATGTAAGTCCCCATGGTTCCTAGTATGGTCATCTACCTTCAGTTGTTGGCGATCTATAGCCCGTGTGTTATCCTGTATTGTCTTTTATAATTTGAATTTTGTAACTTTGCTCGATAGTTTCATATTCACATCTGTGATTCTCTAGTATTTTACTGTCCATCGTCGACAGGTTTTAATCCTCCAAATGTTTTCACTTTTTATTGTATAAATTGTTTTCGTCATGACGTGGCTGAGATATTGCCGATGTGGCGTTAAGTATTAACTCACTCACTCAAATCCCCTAAGGTGTATTCATACACATTCCACTAGGGACACAATGTAACGTAAACTATCATTCACTGTCTGATGTCCCCTGTCCTATGTTGAATTTTGTTTCCTGTATTCCACAAAAAACACTCTCGTCATTTTCCGACAATTTTATGACAGTTTGTCCACGAAACTTGTTAAATGCCTACGGTTTCATACCAGGTTAAATCGGAAAATAAGAATAATCATACCCGGACGTATTTATTCATACCCGCATGTAAATGGAAGACAATTCCATTTCCTTCACAACTGACCTATGAAAAGTCCCGTTGCGCATGGACAGCTTTAGTCCACATAGATATATAGTCCGTTTCCTTACTGAGAATGGAGCTTTATGTCAAGTATTAATGGTTCTACGTTAAGAATCTGAAAAAGGATTATGTCACTAGTGAGTGTCACCCCACTTCACTGCTGTTGTCAGCAAAGCCTGTTTCGAGACTTTGGCTTTCGTGTGGATAGATATAGAGTCCACCACAGAGATAAATGCCATCTTTCAATTTGCACCAATACCTTGGCAGACGCTCGTGTTTGTCTGTTCGTAGTAAGCAAAGCGTTCACTCGTCATGCCAAAGACCCAGGTTCGATTCCCCAAAAGGGTATAAATTGTGAATGGGAGACTGAGTGTTGCTATACAATACATTATTATTGGAATCGAATGTATTAAAAGTTCTTATTCTCCTTTCTTTCCGTCTTGTGGAAATAAAAGCTTACAAAAGGGAATAAAGTCTTATCATTCTTTATGTACAAACATACCTGTGAAGGTCCGGGTTAGAATTGGCCTTCAGTAACCCAATGCCTGTCGTAAGAAGCGACTAACGGGATTGGGTGGCTTGCTTGCTTGGTTGACACATGCCATCGGTTCCCAATTGCGCAGGTCGATGCTCATGCTGTTGTTCACTGTATTGTCTGGTCCAGACTCGATTATTTACAGACCGCCGTCATATAGCTGGAATGTTGCCGACTGTGGCGTAAAATTAAACTCACTCACTCACTCACATCTGCAGATAATCTCTGAGGTTAATATGAACCAACTGTTAAGTCCGCTCAAAACCACAGACGACAATCAACGTAACAACTATGATCAAAACTTATGTTTTCGTGTTAACTAAAAGAATTATCTAGACCTTGGTCACACTTCGTTTGTCCATACTTCTGAAGCATTTACCGGAATCAGGTTTAGAGACCCTTTTGACTATTTTTGACGATATTTGGACTTCTGGAGAGTTTCCTTCTTCATGGCGTGATGCTATAATTATCCCTATCCCTAAACCTGGACGTGATCATACCGATCCTTCGAATTATCGACTTATTTCGCTTACCAGCTGCGTTTGCAAACCCATGGAACGGATGATTAATAATCGACTCGTTTGGTACTTAGAAACCAATAAATTAATTACAGATGTTCAATGTGGTTTCCGCAAAAACAGAAGTACTGTTGATCACTTAGTGCGTTTGGAGTCCTTTGTCAAAAACGCTCTCATTAATAATCAACACGCAGTGTCTATCTTTTTTTATCTTGAAAAAGCATATTATGCTTCGTGTTGTTCATAAATGAGAGCGTTTATGACATTTCGTGGAAATACGGCATTTTATAAGATTTACACGACTTCGGATTGAGGGGCGTTTGCCTCAATTTATATCAAACTTTTTAAAAGACAGGCAATTTCAAGTCCGCGTGGGTTCTACCATGTTTGATTATTATAATCAGGATCAGGGTGTCCCACAAAGCAGTATTTTTTCTTTCACTTTATTTAGCATTAAAATAAACAGTTTAGCAAGGGTTTTAAATGATTCAATTGAAGGATAACTTTTTGTGGATGATTTTAATATTTCTTGTCGTGGGAAATATATGCACACCATTGCAAGACAAATGCAGCTTTGCTTAAATAAGATTGATAAATGGTGTTTGGAAAATGGATTTAAATTTTCAAAATCCAACACTAATTGTATCCATTTTTGACGAAAGTATAAACTTCATAACGACCCAGAATTCTATCTAGATAACACGCCTATTAAAGTAGTAAAAGAAGCGAACTTTTTGGGTATAGTTTTTGAGGAGCATTTGACTTTTCGACCAAATATTAAATATTTAAAAAATAAATGCCTGAAGGCCCTTGATTTGCTGAAGATTGTCTCTAATACAAAATGGGAGGGGATCAGAAAACCCTCCCTTAACTTTACCGAGCTCTTATACGATCCAAGCTTGATTACGGCTCCATTGTATTTGGTGGAGCCTGCAAAAGCAACCTTAAAGTTTTAGATTCTGTCCATCACCAAGGTCTAAGACTTTGTCTTGGATCATTTCGAACTTCTCCCGTTGACAGTCTTAATGGGGAGGCCGATGAGCCTTCTCTAAAACATCGCCGTATTAAAACTCTCCGTGCAGTATGTTACAAAACTATCTTCCAATGAGTCCAACCCTGCATATAACTGCGTTTTTAATCATCTTTACGAGGATGTGTATGGGAAAAAATCTTCACTTACTCCGCCGCTTTGAATACGAATTAAACCTTCCGTTTCTGGTGCTGGCATTGAGCTACAAAATATAGCTCCTTTCCGTCTTCTTTCTTCTCCTCCTTGGCAATTGGCTAGGTCAGAAGTTGACCTAACTCTGACAACATTTAAAAAATCGGAAACTAATGAACTATAATGTAAACAAGAATTTCATCAATTACAAAATAAATATAATACATACAAATCCTTATTTACTGATGGGTCCAAGGATGGTGGCGCAGTTGATTGTGCAACTGTCATTGGATCCAGAACAATATCTTCTAGATTACCAAATAACAGCTCTATATTTTTACAGCAGAAGCTAACGCCATATTAACAACTCTTATATATATTAATAAACACCGTGGTTATAAACGGTACATAATCTTTTCCGATTCTCTTCGTGCCTTCAGGCCATGAAAAATCTTTCTTTTAAACATCCACTTTTAATAGAAATTATTGAATTGTATAATGATCTTCTTACTGGCCAATGCGACATCGTCTTATGTTGGTTAACCACAGGCATGTTGGCATTTCTGGGAACACAATGGCCGATCTTGCTGCCTAGGCAGCACTCAACAAATCTGTGGCACACCTTCTTATTCCATACTCCGATTGCAAAGCCACCATTCGATTATACATCCGTGATCTGATGCAGAAGAAGTGGGACACCCAAGTAGGCATTAATAAGTTACATGAAATTAAACCAACTATCGGTTACACTTACTTGGGTTGTCAGTCCAGATTTGAGGAGGTCAGCATGCGACGATGTCGCATTGGCCACTCAAGATACACCCACGAATATTTATTTAAAGGTGAGAATCCTCCGTTATGCATCCCTTGTGATGAGAGAATCACGGTCAAGCATGTCCTGCTTGACTGCATGGATTTTTCCATCACAAGGGATAAATATTTCAATGTTAACACTGTGAAGGATCTTTTTAGTAAAAATTAATGATCATTTAATCATTGAGTTTTTCAAAGAAATAGAATTGATTGATAAATTTTGATTTATATGCTTTGTGAATAGATAAATGATATTTTATAATCGGTAGAATTAATTAGCAACTAAGATAGTTAGTGGTTGTATCCTCGAAGGGAGTTAAAGTACTGTAAAATTATTGTCCTCCTGAGAGGGTACGTAAGTCCCAAAACGTCCCAAGTCAATTTAGTTCTACACACCTTTTTAGTCGTAGAATATTTGTTGTTTTATTATGGCTAAATATCAGTACAATCGGCAGTGGCTGAAGGGATGGTATAAATCCAGCTAGGGTCCATGCAGGTAGCCAAAGTACTGTAAGTCCCCTTGGTTCCTAGAGCGGTGATCTACCTTCAGTTGTTGGCGATCCTCAGTTGAAGTCCTCTTTTAGAGATATTTGCTAGTTTTATTTCCTATTACTGTGATATTCTAGTTGGTTTTACTGTCCTTTGTCGACTGGTTTTTAGAATTTGCGCATTTGTAATGAATATATAACTATTTTATGTCACGATATGGCTGAAATACTGCCGCTGTGACTATAAACTTCAACTCACTCACTCACTCGTTTGTCCATACAAATGACAAGACTCTATTTGCTTTTGTAAGTTTTCATTTCCACGAGACGGACGTAAAGGAAACAAGGTCAAGAAATGTTAATACACACAACTCCAATAAATAACTATTTTTGTAGCTGCAGCCAGGTCTACCCCAGTAATTAATGAGTGAGTAATTTTCGTTCTACACCATTTAAGGAACATTGCCTAACTCGACTCATCTCAACTCCAGTAAAATCGCTCCACACATTATACTCAATTTGCTGAATCGAACCTGGGTCTTCGGCGTGACGAGTGAACGCTTTGACGACTACGAATAGACAAACACGAGCGTCTGGTGCAAATCGAAAGATGGACTCGGTGATTTCTATCCACCCGAACGCCAAAGGCTGAAAACAGGCTTCACTGACAACAGCAGAGAAGTGTGAGTGAAACTCTCTAGCATCACACAATCTAGAAGGGAAGGCAACGTTTGTCTTTGTATCTGTTAATGTTTAGTTTCAGATTCTTAACGTAAAACCATTAATACTTGACACAAAGCTGCATTCTCAATTTGGGAACAGGGACTACATACCTATACCTATGTGCACAAAAGCTGTCCATGCAGAACAGGACTTTGATCGGTCAGCTGTAAAGGAAACAAAATTGTCTTCCATCGAAATGTGGGTACTCGTCTTCATCAAATCATGTCCCTGAGTTTCAGAAATATCAGAAACAACAGGAGAAGAAAGGAATTAATTTCACCTCGGACAATGATACAGCAAAAAGGGCAGATAATATCCACTATCAGTTCTTGACACATTTACCTGAATCATGTATAGAAACACTTAATATATTTGATACAATATGGACTACAGGGAATTTCCCGACTTCGTGGCGTAATGCC